GTACGATATATTCTTAACCTAGACTCGCGAGGTATTTGCCCCCGTCTATGTGAAGTAGCAGATATGGCGGAGAAACTACTACGCGAACGAGATGGCGAGCCTTTAGGCAAATGCTGGGCAGAGCGGTTCGTTACTCGTACAGACGAGCTTAGAACAGCCTTTAGTCGAGCAAAGGATCGTCAGAGAACTCAACAAGAGGATCCAGAGATTATTAACGCGTGGTTCAAGCTCGTACGAGAGACGGTTGAGAAGTATGGAGTTCATTCAGACGACATCCATAACTTTGATGAAACTAGCTTTCAGATGGGCGTAATTGGCTCAATGAAGGTAGTCACAGGCGCAGAGCGTCGTACGAGGCCTACTCTCACGCAGCCAGGCAATCGCGAGTGGGTTACAGTCATCCAGAGCATCTGCGCTGCGGGATACGCTACCCCGCCATTTATTATCTACAAGGGACGCGTCTACATCTCTGCATAGTACGAAGAAGCGGATATACTGTATGACTAGAAGCTTTTAGTATTAGAGAACGGCTAGACGAACAATAAGCTTAGTCTCGCGTGGTTAAAGCACTTTGACGAGCATATAAAGACGCGTCAGGTGGGGTTATACAGGCTACTCATCCTTGACGGCTATAAGAGCCACCTTAACTAAGAATTTAAGGATTACTGCCTCGTACGAAAGATCCTTACCCTCTGTATGCCTGCTCATTCATCGCACATACTTCAGCCACTTGACGTTGTCTGCTTTTTGCCTCTTAAGCAGAAGTACTCTCAACGCGTACGAGACTTGGCACGCCACCATGTCTAGCATATTAATAAGGAGCGCTTCCTTCTAGCCTTTCGAGACGCGTTTTTTAACGTGTTTACGTCCGATAACTGCAAGAAGGCCTTTAAGGCAGCAGGGCTAGTCCCTATCAACGCGCAGAGAGTTATTAATCGCCTTAACGTACGCCTTTATACTCTACTATAAGAAGCTTAGCTAGAAATACCCTAGACGTTAAGAACACTAAGTAATTTGCATGAATTTAGGTCATAATTAAAGCTTGTAAGAGAGTCTTTCGTACGATCGCTAACTACTGCACAAGAAGGCTTTTTAAAGCTTATTAAAGGGGCTAAGTAGATGCTACATGAGAATGTGCTTATAAAGGCCCGCGTAAGAGAGCTTGAAGAGCAATTAGTAGCAGTAACAAAGCACCGAGGGCGCAAAAGAAAGCGAATTCAGACAGGTGGGACACTAGACTTTGGTGCAGGGGCATCGCAGGTAGCTGAAAGTAGTTCTGCTGGTCGTACGACATCAAAGAAGGCACGTGGTGAGGGTAGTCAAGAAAGGGCCCTACCAGGTCAACGGCACTGTAGAACCTGTGGGAGGACAGGCCATAACTCTCGTACGTGCCAGAAAGATGTAGAAGAAGATTCTCTTTTAGATACAAGTAAGTCGTACGAAGCATCTATAGCTAGTGTAGAGTAATCTAAGTTTTCGTACATGAAGTTCGTGATGCCAAGAAAAAGTGGCACACTCGGTGATGTGGCCCGCTCGGTGAT